GATACTATGTTATGATGCTGTGAAGCGGGTAAATTTACATCTTTGTATATATATATGCATGCTTATGTAATTTTGCTTCTGTGGTGAGGATTTGAGATAACTGATTGTTTGCTTCAATGCAGAAGACAAACCGTATATTTGGAGCCTTTGGTGATTTTGGTAACTGGGGAAAATAAATCAATTGCTGGAATTATTAGAGAAAGAGGTGTCAACCACTTTCAAAAGGTATCAGCTTCTTCTTGACTGGCTTTTAGAGTTGGTGACACTACCTCTTTGCTATTTTGTACTAATTTTGAATTTTGAACTTTGAACTATGATCATTCTCCATGTGTAGCTTCGTCATGGTTTAAGATATTTTGTTGTCTATGAAATATTGAATCTCTAATTTCTTCTGTAGTTAGATTTGCAAGATATTTTATAACACGATGAATATTTCTGGGTTTGCAAAAGCTCAAGTTCTGAAAGGTGCTGTTTTTCTGCTTCATTTCTCAAACTTCAAACCCTTTCTCTTAGTGTATTTGCTTCAAACACAAGAAGATTATTTTGCAACATGTTAGAGAATCTTTTACTGGTTATTGGGAAGTGGAAGTCCCACGTCGGTTTGAGAATGTCAAGTGTTTAGATGATGCTTTGAGTCTCTTTCGTCAAATGGTCAGAACTCAGCCCCTTCCTTCTGTTTTTAGCTTCTCCAAATTATTAAAGACTATGGTAAATATGAAGCGTTACTCTTCTGTTCTTTCCCTTTTTCGAGAAATGCGGAAATTAGGCATCCCAATTAATGATTTCATCTTGAATATAGTGATTAACAATTATTGCCTAATGCATTGTTCTGACTGCGGATTTTCAGTGTTGGCCATTTACTTGAAGAAGGGCATTCCATTTAATGTTGTCGCCTTTAGCACCCTACTAAGGGGACTCTTTGCGGAAAGTAAGATAAAAGATGCAGTTAACTTGTTCAAAAAGTTGGTGAGAGAGAATATTTGTGAGCCTGATGAAGTCATGTATTCAATTGTCATGAATGGGCTTAGCAAAATGGGCCATACTCAAAAAACATTCGATTTGCTTAGGGTAATGGAACAAGGAAGCACTAAGCCCAACACATACATCTACAACATTGTTATAGATGCTCTTTGCAAGGATAGAATGCTAGATGCTGCAATTGGCCTTTTTGAAGAGATGAAACAAAAAGGCATTCCTCCCGATGTTATCACATATAATTCATTGATT